TCGAGGTAGACAAGTAAAAAGATGGAAGGATAACCTGAAATCCAACCTTAAAAAAGTATCCATCAACGTCAACACATGGGAGGAGGATGCATCTGACCATTCCTGTTGGCCTCGTCTAATCCATCATGCAACAGAAGCATTCGAAATTGATCAATGGGAAAATGAGAAGCAAAAGGGACAGAAGAGGAAAGAGAAAAAAGCCAACCCCTTTTTGCAACATCTTCCTCTGAGCACTACCTGCCAGAGGTGTTCCAAACAATGGAAATCTCGAATTGAACACATTCACCCCAGGAGACGTTGTCTTCATTCACTAAGAAATGCCGATGACAGTTGCAGGATGAAGCACGATATGTAATCACATAGACTAGTGTATGCTTACTGCTTTTGAATGCATATACTGAATGACAAAGAAAAAGTGCATGCAGTTGCAGTCTTCTTAAAACACTGTTGACACTACCTACATAATATAAAGTTCACTGATTTAGTTGCCATGTGTGACTGAAATGATTGATGAACTTTAAAATTCCAGAAGGGATGATAGCTCACTGGATAACAGTGTTGCAGGAGTATGATTTGGTTGTATGGTACTGCACAGACCTGCAATACGAAATGCTAATGTGCGAGATATATACAACTGTTTTAATTTAACTGTAGTGCAAGTATTAAATTTAGTTATTTTCAGAAGCGATAGTATATTGCAGGTTTAGTTACATAACTGTGCAAATTATACGTTGTGTAGTTCAATTGTCCTAACTTGGAAATTGTTGTATTATTATGTTATATTACTGTAACCTTCTAATTTTTTCTTGAGTATTATTACATGATTACATCTTGTAGTGTGTGGAAAGTTCTAGGCCTCGGTTGGGCTATTTATAAGTATGCATCCAAAATGTAGTTCAAGTAAGTTAGTGAGAGATATTATGATATAAGTCTAGACTGCCTGTTTGTGAATTTAGCCATAAAGAGTATATATTAGCAGTTTTAAAGTGAAAGTGTCAATGATTGTATTGTGGTAATAGAATAGAGGAGAATAATTCATCCTGTAAATTGGGTTATAAAGTAACTGAACCAGTCTGTGTGGATTCTTGACTAAAAGAGAGAATTATATAAAGTTCTAGATACAACTGTAATGGGCAGTGCCTTTAAGCTGGTCATTGGAGCTTAGACTTTTCTGCCAATTACACCAAATTTATTTAATTGAGGAATGCAGTGGAGTTCACAGGTCACTAACTTGAGGAGATTTACGGTTAGACTAAAGAATACAATTTATGCTTATACATATAACATACTCTTTTATTGACAATCAATTAGTTTTCAATAATCAAACTTTCAAGTTAATCATTACTGACAACATTCTTCACATACAAGATACTGAACTATATTATAGATATTAACTTCTTTTATATAAATCACTTTACTATTTTATCCTAAACTACATTGATTGAATAAGAGAAATAGCAATCTTACTTGCATCAAAGTTGAGGTGTTCCACTGTAAGTTGAATACCTTCATCATTGTAGAATGGTTGAAGAACTGTCAGCTTCTAGAGACTTGTAGTTCTTGCAGAACTGACTACCTAGTTCTAGACACAAGTTTTTATATGATGTTTTCTCTGTGTTGTTACGAGTTTCCAAGTAGTATACATAACTAACTGCAAGTTGTTCTGATACTTCATTGGTTGATTTCTGCAACTCATTGGGTTTTCCCAAAACCAAAACTCTTTAAGTAATTGATTACTGTGTGATAGTTTGTGAATCGGCTGCCTTCTTACTTATACCACTACTCCAGTCTGTAGTAATGGATCTTACATCAAAGTTTCCGATTTTAGATGCTATCATAAACTTTTTAGTAGCCTTTACTGTACTACTAGATCAGTGTCAGTTACTTGTCACTGTCAAACTCGTGACTAGCATTTTTCTTAGCATCTTTAAGGAGATGCTAGATGCTGGTCCTGTTTTTTTATACGTCTTTAACTCGTGATTTTCAGTACTAACTACTAGCTGACTATGCTTTGCCTAGTTTTTGACTTAATTGAGCAATACAGGCATCCTTTCTTATGCCATTTTTTCATGTGTGTGTGTGTACCACACCCAGAAACCTAAATTTTCTTTAGTTTATTTCTTAAACACTAAAAATACTGAAGCAATTGTATGAAACAATTTAATAATACCCAATTGCTTCACAACTGAGGTGATTAACTGTATAACGAACATTTGTATATACGTTTGACTTGTTTTAATATATTGTTCTAAAACAAGTTGACTGTGTCCTGTTTGTTTATTGTTGAAATTTATCACCAACAAGCCACAGACACCTACTGTAAAGAATCTGGCCCTATATAAAACCTGACATCATGGATTGTCTCAGATTGTGATGAGACATCATTCATTCAATGAATATCCATTCCCATGACATGGTGTTACAGTTGAAACCATTTCTGTCACAGCAGTGTTGTACTTCATGACCTTTGGGTAGAGTAATTGAAATACCCAGATGTAGCATGGATTCTTTTTGTTTTGTAACAAGGTAAAGCACAACCAGCTCAAACTGAGGAACATAGCATGGATGCATTTAACTTATGACACTTCTTTGAACAGTTACACCTGCAGAAAGGTGTACTTATCATTGTTATCAACTACCAAGCCATGGCTTTTTAGCTTGCATTCCGACTAATGGTACCCATTGCTTTGGAAAACAAGATTCTCCAGACTTTTGCATAACATAAAGATTGGAGGGCATCAAGATATTAAACACTTGTGGTAATTATTGCAGTATTGTTGTCACATTTTTGTCAAGATGTTTAGCACTGGTCTCAACACTGTTTGGTGTACCACCTGGAGTAAGAGTGCATTAGGAGTCTCCACTAGAAAGAATAGCCCCGAATATTGCTGTCCCACTCCCAAAGATTACCTGTATATACTCGTGGTCATCAACTACTTCATAAAGTGGGCTGTGGCTTATTCATTGGTCAATACATCTGTACAGTCCATGGGTAATGTGTAGGTTGAGCATTGAATAGCCCAGTTTGGAGCACCTGTAGAGATCCACATGGATCAGCAAAGTACCTTTAAAAGCATCTGTTTTCTAAGTTGTGTAAAGTGTAGGTGTGGTGAAGATGGACTTTTCATCTTATCATCCCCAGTCTGATGATTTAGTAAAATGGGTAATATATACTGTACATTGTACAAGGATGTCAACACAAGTGTCCTCTAATGATAGGTCAGATGATGCCTCAATCTTACAACCTCCTTTAAGTTTGAGTAGGAAAGACAGTCATATGCATAGCATTAGTCACTCTGGGTAAGTCTGATGTTACCATTGAAATAAGTAACATTAAGTTTAGCCAGTTTGGTATAAGATCTTATCCAATATAGTTTGGAGAGAAAACAGATTACTATCCATTGAAAATAACTTCTAGCATTTTAAGAAATTACATACACTGTGTTTGTGTTAGTGATTTAACTATCATGCCACAGGTAGGTTAAAATGTGTGTCATGACCTTTTACAGAGTTACATTTAAAATTGATTTAAAGTACGTTATTATAAGTGTATACAAATAAATGTGGCATCAAAACATAGTTAATAAATCAAGTTTTAATATTATATAAGATTTAACTTCTTAATTATATAAGAAAATAAAAAAAAAATTTGCAATTTTCCCTAGTATGAGAATTGTGACATTTGTTCTCTTGGTCTTTCCTCTTCTCCAATTTATTTACCACCTCTCTGAAGTACAGAATTTAATGAAAGTCACTCGTTATAATATAGATATTGCTAAAACAGTCTAATTTTTAGGGTCTTCAATGTTGTTTACAAGAGTCATAAACTAGAAAATCAGACCTACTTGCCATGTCCAACTGTCACATCCTCTCTTTTACAAATTCTCAGTAGTTCTGTGTGACATTTTAGACTACATTATTTATAACCAATAAAAAAGATGATCAATACACTAAATAATTTTTTATTTACTTACATAATGCTGCTAAGGACACAGAATAACAATACACACACAAAGCAAATAACATACTGTAATTATTATAATTTAATCAGCTTTCCAACTATGCAGTCATTCTAGAAAGTAAAAAAAAGTAATGTAGTTTTATTTAATTTTTTTATGGTGATTACAAGGTTAGTCAAATGGACTGAGTCCATATGGAATTAGGGTAGAGAAAGTAACATAAAATATAAAGTTTAAGTGAAGAAAATGTTTATCTATTTAGGAGGATTTCTAAGTTACACAAATGTTCAGATGAAGAAAAGTATTTTTAGTCTTAACTTGAAAATCACTTTGCACTCAGAGCAGTCAACACTTTGACTCCATATATTCACAGACAAATCATTAGTAAAAATACTTAATTAAGAAATCTGATTTTTGTATGTATAAAAAATTGTAATGTTTACTAAAAGGTTGCCATATTTTATGAAGATACACATACCATATTGAACGTTATCGTGTAGAAATTTTGACGGTTACTTTGAGGTTACAAGGTTGATGTAATCCATTGAGCCCATATGCAAAGATTTAATAAGGGTTGTTCATTTGTGTGTTATATCCAGTATTTTTATTTCATTGTCACAATTTAATAAATTCAGAAAAATTTAGAACACCTCTGTAATAAATATCTTGTTGAATCTCCCATTATTATGGATACCTATCCTGTCACTCAGGAGGAAACCAGTTTCACCTGAAATACCACAAAAGACATGAAGAAATATTTAGGCGATGATGTTTGAGAGTTATTTGTATCTTACTGTGTTTGAGCTTCTCTGGATTAGAAGCTTTTGAATTTGAAAGTAATTTTGTATAATGTAACCGCTTTTTTCATATTCTAAACATTTTTCTGATTTATTATCCTTTGACAGTGAGAAAATGAAAAAAATTTAGTTTGTAAATGAAAGTAGAACATTGATTTTTAACCTAAATATTGAGAGAACTTGTGAACTTTGAAAAACATTTAAACTGATTTAACTGGTATGATAATCTTTTTTTATTTTTTAGTACTTTTACAGGAGATGAGGGAAACTTCAGTTTTGGAATTTACAATAAGGATGTCACAATTTATCCAAGCCCTTCACCTCATCCTTCTGGAAGCAGCAAAGTGAGAAAATTCTTACTATTATACATATTACATAAAATCATTTAAAATGTGTAAAATTAATACAAGCGTGTTTCAGTCTTTCTACGTCAAATCATCTAAAACTATTGGATATAAAACTACCACCACTGATTTACACTAAACTTGGTATAGTGTTTTTACAGGAAGGAAAATTAAAAAGTTTGATCAGGTCATTGAGTTGAAAATTTCCCATAAAAACCTGGTTGTGGTAGACACTTAAATTAGGTGTGGTGGTTATGTTATTAGAGATTACATTAGAATTCCAGAAATGGCTCATAAAATGTAAAACAAAGGTTACTTGTAAACAAAACTTGATTTTGGAGTGAAATGCTAAAATTCAAAATCTGAAAATAGTTCCATGTAAAGATCAGGAAGGTAATATTCTTCATTTATTATGAAAAAAGAAATACATAACTTATCCCTTTTATTCTAAAGAAATATTAACTATGTTCAGATGACATGACCTGTCATAACTTAACAGATGTTTTTTAATCTGAGAACATGATCAAGGTAATAACATGGTAGCATTGGAAGAAATTTGCTCATTTTGTTCAAAATCAATAATAATTCTCATGTGACACAGCATGTGCTACAGTATAGAAGATGTTAATCAAGGTTTGATACCAGACTTTTGTTTCCTAACTGCCCTTGCTTAGGAATATTACTTAAATATCCATGTGCCAGGGTTTCAGAAATTTAGTCTTCTGAGCAATAGATAAATTGGTGCTCGCTTAAAAATAACTACTTTGATGACCAACAAATTCAGGGGAGATTAATTACTGTTTTGTGTACCATAGAGAAGATTACTGTTAATTTCTCACCTTATAATTTATTATACTTGACATAAGATATTAGTATTAGGATTATGGTAATTTTTGACACTACATTCTTTATTTCGTCCTTTAGGCCTAATACTGATGTATTTTGACAAGTATAATTAACTAGCAGAGACCCACAAAACATTTGTGGTAAAATTAGTACGTTTATTGCAACAGTACTTTTTTAAATACAGGATTTTTAGAATAATACAAAATAATTCTAATTGCAGAGATCAAGATCTATAAGTCCACATGTCTTAGGCTTAACATTAGTTAAGCCTTTATTAAGTATAGCTTGTATTTGATAAAGAGATAAATTAATGCTGTAAGTTGTGAATGTTTTTGTTAGTGATACACTTTATCATACTTAACTCAGGCTCAGTCGAATTGACCGACCATGGGACCACTTTGTGCTTCTGTAGAGTCGTATAGTTTTGATATTACTAACTTTTAATATAATATGTGTATCTTCACACAATTTGGCAGACTTTCAGTAAACATTAGAAGTCATTTACATACAAAAAATCAGATTTTTCAGTGAAGTATTTTTAATAAACTAAAAACAGATTTGGCCATGAATATATAGTCTTTTTTTTTATTTGTCTGAGTGCAAAGTGATTTTTGTGTTAAGATTAAGGATACTTCTCTTTATCTAAAAAGTCTCAAATTTCATTTGCATAATTGCTAAAACCTCCTAAATACATTTCAAATGTTTTTTTTTTCAGTAAAACATTATATTTTATCTGTTATTTACCCAACCCTAACTCTATATGGTATTAGTCAAGTTGACCGACCTCGTAACCATCATAAAAAAATTAGGAATAAATCTAAGTTATCCTTTCTTTTGTTCTAGAATGACTGCAAATTTTAATAGGAAACCACAAATGTTATGTTAAATAGCTTAATGCTCATGACAGTATACATCTATTTATATTTATTTATTTTTTGTTTTATTGACCTTTAAACCATATCTGAATAGAAATACCCTGATGCAAGTTGAAAATTACACAGCACATGTGCAGCTCACATTAACTTATCAATTAGTGTAATAATACACAAGATGCTCAGTAGTATACCCCATGAAGGTTTTTTTTTTCCTTATCATACCTAATCAGTTTCTAATTTTTACATTTTAGTTACCTTTATAATAATAAATAAATAAATAAAACAAATGAAAAATAAAAAAAACATGTAATTAAATATCAAACACTTTTTAGTAACGCTTTATATTTTATCTGTCATTTTCTTTACTGTAACATTATACTTGATTCACTAGGTTGTAAGACAAGTTATCAAAGTATAATTAAAATAAGAGTTGCAAAGTGCAAAATAAAATGTATAGTATTGTTAGTATTGATCACAAAGCTTAAAAGGACTTAAAGTCAGGGTTTATACTTCTCACACTTATTTCCTGTAGTAATTTTATTGTTAGAAGTTGACTTAGAAACTAGATGAAATAGAATGAATAATTAAGTATGGATCATGAAGTTCCAAAGTAAATCTCTTGAGAGTTTCTTCTAATCTTTTTTACACCTATTTCCTATATTTATTCTCCTGTTAGTGGCTGAAGTAGAAACCTGCAGAATACAAAGCAATGAATTGTTGTTTCTTACTTAGCTTTTAATTCACTGTTTCCTATATTACCATGCTTATACAGTAACTTGTAAGCTTTTAATATTTTGTTATACAGTGTCTACTAAAGTATATTTGCATATAAGGAAACATTAAGCTGGTGTTGAAAACCATTTGAACTTTGGCAGGGTTGCCAAGAGCTGCCACAGGCTTTGGGGAAGGATTGTTATATGCAGCACCTTCCCCTGACTGTCAACAAGCTGAAACTTGTGATTCCTTAATAGGATACTTTATCCAATCTTGGATTAAAAATATACACTGTTGTATACCATCTTGATAGATTTACCATGGTTTATTTATCCTATTAACCTGTTGTGTTTTTGTTATCGATTTTACAGTTGGATTTTGAGAATTTTGTAAGATCAGTATTAGAGTATATTTTTAGTTGCTAGTTTGCCTTAACCCTTTGGACGCTATAATTAGATTTACCTGACTTGACATTTATAGCTGTTTGGTGCAACAAGCGGAGTTACCCTATGGTGTCACAAAAACATTTCCTCATAGTGCAATAATTGGGATAATTTAATTTCCCGCCTTAGTACCATGTGTGTGTACATCACTGAGCAAAAGAGCAACTAGTGGATTTTAATATTGAAAAAGTACTAAAAACTTTTTGGGAACCTAACCACAATTTAATTACTCACTCAAAGGGTTAATTAAATCCAGTTTATGAGTAATTATAAAGCTTTAGGCTTATTTTATAACACAAGTTGTGTGTGTAATCAGTATTTTCTTTTGTATGTTTTTTATTTATTGTATACATAACAAGCAAATTGAATATATGTTCAAGTCTCTATTAATAAGATTTCAACAAACTACCCAGATGAAAATAGGCAAAATTTATTTAAGGAATTAATGGTTAATTCTGTCACCATAAAATTGACAAATACACTAATATACAAACACACTGCTGCCTAATAAGAAATCACAGAAGTTACTGATTCAATATTTTTTTAAAGAAAATGAATAAAGAGAAAAAAATGCTCATACAATGAGTTTCATGTTTGTTTAATGTGGTGAATATATGAAAACACTCCTTAGTTGCACTTAAACATGTCAGGTATTTAATAGCAAAATAGATAGAACTGGTTGAATACAAATCAGGTTTATAGTTTTCTTCTATTTTAATACATAAGTGGGTTTATCATCATTGGGCCAGTCAATTGTTTATTGTATGATTTTTGTTGTTAGAAATGTACTTTCTTTGCCTTCTGTCTGGCAAAATGATCAATGATTCTACAGTAATCCAAAGTACAGGCTAACTGGTTTTTAATTGCAAGGGTTCCCAGATCTGTCAGTTGATCTTGGGCAATGGTGGAACACAGATAATTTTTTATCAGTTTTAACTTGCTAAAATGCTTCTCCAACTGTAACTAAAATTGTGCAGAAAATACAAAGGGGTACAGAAACATTTGGGAAAAGTGGATGTAGCTTGAATTTGTGCAGTTTGTGTAGAAGATCTAAAGGATTTAATGTAGTGTCACCAAAGTTATTTTTGTGGATGGCCTTTAGATGTTTCATTTCTTCCACTAAGTCTTCTGACACATCAGATCTACACTTGGCAACAAACTCCCTAGTTTTTGAATATA